CTCTTACTCCCAATCACTCCTACTCCCAATCACTCCTACTCTCAATCACTCCTACTCTCATTCTACTCTTACTCTTACTCCCAATCACTCTTACTCTCAATCACTCTTACTCTTAAATGTTGTGTGTCCTCGTGGCCGTCCTCCTACCACCGTAACTGGCGATGGTAAACGGCTCTGGCGAGGTTGCGTATTGGCTATACTCACTTAACCCATGGTCACTTGATGGAGCGCCGCCCTTCTCCTTATTGTCCTAATTGCAGTGTCCCTCTTACGGTCGTGCATATCCTTCTTGAATGTCCTGGATGTTCTGAATATCCTGAATGTTCCAGGTCGAGCGTGTGTCTTGCTTTCCAACCGCCCCTCGCGGTCACGTGTCCCTCAATAGAATTCTTGGTGACTCGGATACTTTTGATATCGTTCGCCTTATGCGTTTTTGTTCTCGTATTGGCATCCATGGTGATATTTAGTGCCATCTGACTATTCCGCACATTTGATGGTGCTACATAGCCTTCCCGGTTTAGTGCCTTCTTTTGATAATTACTTACTTTATCTTTATAATTTTCAGATGTGGGGGTTGATTATACATAACTTATATTCTCTCCCACAAAACCAAATTTGCCACAGCAATAACTATTCTCCAGGTTTCCCTCCAACACATAACTGCACTAAATGAAACGACGCTCTCACTCTTCAAGTGGACACCACAGTGCCCCGACGCTCTCACTCCCCAAGTGGACACCACAGTGCCCCGACGCTCTCACTCTTCAAGTGGACACCACAGTGCCCCGACACTCTCACTCTCCAAGTGGACACCACAGTGCCCTGACGCTCTCACTCTCCAAGTGGACACTACAGTGCCACTACGCTCTCACTCTCCAAGTGGACACCACAGTGCCCCGACACTCTCACTCTCAAAGTGGACACCACAGTGCCCCGGCGCTCTCACTCCCCAAGTGGACACCACAGTGCCCCGACGCTCTCACTCTTCAAGTGGACACCACAGTGCCCCGACGCTCTCACTCTCCAAGTGGACACCACAGTGCCACGACGCTCTCACTCCCCAAGTGGACACCACAGTGCCCCGACGCTCTCACTCCCCAAGTGGACACTACAGTGCCACTACGCTCTCACTCTCCAAGTGGACACCATAGTGCCCCGACGCTCTTACTCCCCAAGTGGACACCATAGTGCCCCGACGCTCTTACTCTCCAAGTGGACACCATAGTGCCCCGACGCTCTTACTCCCCAAGTGGACACCATAGTGCCCCGACGCTCTCACTCCCCAAGTGGACACCACAGTGCCCTGACGCTCTCACTCTCCAAGTGGACATCATAGGGCCCCGACACTCACTCCCCAAGTGGACACCAAAGTGCCCCGACGCTCTCATTCCCCAAGTAGACACCATAGTGCCCCGGCGCTCTCACTCCCCAAGTGGACACCATAGTGCCCCGGCGCTCTCACTCCCCAAGTGGACACCATAGTGCCCCGACACTCTCACTCCCCAAGTGGACACCGCAGTGCCCCGACGCTCTCACTCCCCAAGTGGACACCACAGGGCCCCGACGCTCTCACTCCCCAAGTGGACACCATAGTGCCCCGACGCTCTCACTCCCCAAGTGGACACCATAGTGCCCCGACGCTCTCACTCCCCAAGTGGACACCACAGGGCCCCGACGCTCTCACTCCCCAAGTGGACACCATAGTGCCCCGACACTCTCACTCCCCAAGTGGACACCGCAGTGCCCCGACGCTCTCACTCCCCAAGTGGACACCATAGTGCCCCGGCGCTCTCACTCCCCAAGTGGACACCACAGTGCCCCGACGCTCTCACTCGTCCAAGTGGACACCATAGTGCCCCGACGCTCTCACTCCCCAAGTGGACACCACAGTGCCCCGACGCTCTCACTCCCCAAGTGGACACCATAGTGCCCCGACGCTCTCACTCCCCAAGTGGACACCATAGTGCCCCGGCGCTCTCACTCCCCAAGTGGACACCATAGTGCCCCGACGCTCTCACTCCCCAAGTGGACACCATAGTGCCCCGACGCTCTCACTCTCCAAGTGGACACCATAGTGCCCCGACGCTCTCACTCCCCAAGTGGACACCATAGTGCCCCGACGCTCTCACTCCCCAAGTGGACACCATAGTGCCCCGACGCTCTCACTCCCCAAGTGGACACCACAGTGCTCCGACGCTCTCACTCTCCAAGTGGACACCATAGTGCCCCGACGCTCTCACTCCCCAAGTGGACACCACAGTGCCCCGACGCTCTCACTCCCCAAGTGGACACCACAGTGCCCCGACGCTCTCACTCTCCAAGTGGACACCACAGTGCCCCGACGCTCTCACTCCCCAAGTGGACACCATAGTGCCCCGACGCTCTCACTCCCCAAGTGGACACCACAGTGCCCCGACGCTCTCACTCCCCCAAGTGGACACCACAGTGCCCCGACGCTCTCACTCCCCAAGTGGACACCACAGTGACCCGACGCTCTCACTCTCCAAGTGGACACTACAGGGCCCCGACGCTCTTACTCCCCCAAGTGGACACCACAGTGCCCCGACGCTCTCACTCCCCAAGTGGACACCATAGTGCCCCGACGCTCTCACTCCCCCAAGTGGACACCACAGTGCCCCGACGCTCTCACTCCCCAAGTGGACACCACAGTGCCCCGACGCTCTCACTCCCCAAGTGGACACCACAGTGCCCTGACGCTCTCACTCCCCAAGTGGACACCACAGTGCCCCGACGCTCTCACTCCCCAAGTGGACACCACAGTGCCTCGACGCTCTCACTCTCCAAGTGGACACTACAGGGCCCCGACGCTCTCACTCCCCAAGTGGACACCACAGTGCCCCGACGCTCTCACTCCCCCAAGTGGACACCATAGTGCCCCGATGCTCTCACTCCCCAAGTGGACACCACAGTGCCCCGACGCTCTCACTCTCCATGTGGACACTACAGGGCCCCGACGCTCTCACTCCCCCAAGTGGACACCACAGGGCCCCGACGCTCTCACTCCCCAAGTGGACACTATAGTGCCCCGACGCTCTCACTCCCCAAGTGGACACCACAGTGCCCCGACGCTCTCACTCTCCAAGTGGACACTACAGTGCCCCGACGCTCTCACTCCCCCAAGTGGACACCACAGGGCCCCGACGCTCTCACTCCCCAAGTGGACACCACAGTGCCCCGACACTCACTCCCCAAGTGGACACCACAGTGCCCCGACACTCACTTCCCAAGTGGACACCACAGGGCCCCGACGCTCTCACTCCCCAAGTGGACACCACAGGGCCCCGACGCTCTCACTCCCCAAGTGGACACCACAGTGCCCCGACACTCACTCCCCCAAGTGGACACCACAGTGCCCCGACACTCACTCCCCAAGTGGACACCACAGGGCCCCGACGCTCTCACTCCCCAAGTGGACACCACAGGGCCCTGACGCTCTCACTCCCCAAGTGGACACCACAGTGCCCCGACACTCACTCCCCAAGTGGACACCACAGTGCCCCGACACTCACTCCCCAAGTGGACACCACAGGGCCCCGACGCTCTCACTCCCCAAGTGGACACCACAGTGCCCCGACGCTCTCACTCCCCAAGTGGACACCACAGTGCCCCGACACTCACTCCCCAAGTGGACACCACAGTGCCCCGACACTCACTTCCCAAGTGGACACCACAGGGCCCCGACGCTCTCACTCCCCAAGTGGACACCACAGTGCCCCGACACTCACTCCCCAAGTGGACACCACAGTGCCCTGACACTCACTCCCCAAGTGGACACCACAGTGCCCCGACACTCACTCCCCAAGTGGACACCACAGGGCCCCGACGCTCTCACTCCCCAAGTGGACACCACAGTGCCCCGACACTCTCACTCCCCAAGTGGACACCACAGTGCCCCGACACTCACTCCCCAAGTGGACACCACAGTGCCCCGAACTCCCCAAGTGGACACCACAGTGCCACGACACTCACTCCCCAAGTGGACATCTCAGTGCCCCAAAATGTCAGCTCACTCTATTTCTCCCACAGGATTCCCTACCATAGCTATTTCGGAGGTGGTTGTCTCATGATGGAGAGCCACATATTAAAGGTGAATGGCTGGAGCAACATGTACTGGGGATGGGGATGCGAGGACGATGATATGTGGAATAGGGTTACGTCTTCAGATATGACGGTGTGGAGATACCCGAACCCTTACGTCAGATACAAGATGATTCAACACAGACCTGCAGCTCCCAATCAAGAGAGGTAAGAGAGAGGCCGTTGTTCAGGTGGCTCCAAATATCAGTGAGTGCCATTTTCTGTCCTAATGTGGTCGATTGTAGTTATTTATATGTAGTTAGGGTTTAGGGTGAGAGCTTTTCTTGTTAGTGTGTGCTGGTAGTTTGATTGTATTCACGTATTGTTAAGGGGAGGTGGTTTGGTGGTATATTTTCTTGTTAGAGACGGGGCGGTAATTTGGTTATTATTTGTAAGGGCTGTTCGGATTGGGAATTGTAGTGAGAATGGCGGTAGTTTGAGTGTGGCCATGTTTTGTGAGAGAGGGATAGTCTATTGGTTCCATTCGTGACTTCTTAATGAGGAAATATAAATTGGGTGTTGTCTTATTTTATCCAAAAGGGGGAGGTAGTTTGGTTATTTTTTGTCTTTGTAGTAAGGTGTTAGGGTTAGGATGAGCTGGTCTTGTTAGTGATGAGTGGTAGTTCGGTTGCAGTTTAGTCTTGCGAGTAAGGGGGTGATGGTTTATTTAATGGTTCACTCTTGTTAACGACAGGTGGTGGTGTGTGTATGTGTGGGGTCTTGTTATCCTAGTGAGGGGTGGTGATGGTCTGGGTGTGGTCTTGTTATCTTAGTGAGGGTGGTGATGATCTGGGTATGGTCTTGTTATCTTAGTGAGGGGTGGTGGTCTGGGTGTGGTCTTGTTATCTTAGTGAGGGGTGGTGATGGTCTGGGTGTGGTCTTGTTATCTTAGTGAGGGGTGGTGATGGTCTGGGGGGTCTTGTTATCCTAGTGAGGGGTGGTGATGGTCTGGGTGTGGTCTTGTTATCCTAGTGAGGGGTGGTGATGGTCTGGGTGTGGTCTTGTTATCTTAGTGAAGGGTGGTGGTGGTCAGTGTGTGGTCTTGTTATCTTAGTGAGGGGTGGTTGTGGTCTGAGGGTGGTCTTGTTATCCTATTGAGGGGTGGTGATGGTCTGGGTGTGGTCTTGTTATCCTAGTGAGGGGTGGTGATGGTCTGGGTGTGGTCTTGTTATCTTAGTGAGGGGTGGTGGTGGTCTGGGTGTGGCCTTGCTATCTTAGTAAGGGGTGGTGGTGGTCTGGGTGTGGTCTTGTTATCTTAGTGAGGGGTGGTGGTCTGTGTGTGGTCTTGTTATCTTAGTGAGGGGTGGTGGTCTGTGTGTGGTCTTGTTATCTTAGTGAAGGGTGGTGGTGGTCTGTGTGTGGTCTTGTTATCTTAGTGAGGGGTGGTGGTGGTCTGGGTGTGGTCTTGTTATCTTAGTGAGGGATGGTGGTCTGTGTGTGGTCTTGTTATCTTACTGAGGGGTGGTGGTCTGGGTGTGGTCTTGTTATCTTAGTGAAGGGTGGTGGTGGCTGGGTGTGGTCTTGTTATCTTAGTGAGGGGTGGTATTGGTCTGGGTGTGGTCTTGTTATCTTAGTGAGGGGTGGTGATGGTCTGAGTGTGGTCTTGTTATCTTAGTGAAGGGTGGTGGTCTGGGTGTGGTCTTGTTATCTTAGTGAGGGGTGGTGATGGTCTGGGTGTGGTCTTGTTATCTTAGTGAGGGGTGGTGGTCTTGTTATCTTAGTGAAGGGTGGTGGTCTGGGTGTGGTCTTGTCGTCTTAGTGAGGGGTGGTGATGGTCTGGGTGTGGTCTTGTTATCTTAGTGAGGGGTGGTGATGGTTTGGGTGTGGTCTTGTTATCTTAGTGAGGGGTGATGGTGATCTGGGTGTGGTCTTGTTATCTTAGTGAGGGGTGGTGGTCTGGGTGTGGTCTTGTTATCTTAGTGAGGGGTGGTGGTCTGGGTGTGGTCTTGTTATCTTAGTGAGGGGTGGTGGTCTGGGTGTGGTCTTGTCTTAGTGAGGGGTGGTGGTCTGGGTGTGGTCTTGTTATCTTAGTGAGGGGTGGTGGTCTGGGTGTGGTCTTGTTATCTTAGTGAGGGGTGGTGGTCTGGGTGTGGTCTTGTCTTAGTAGGGGTGGTGGTCTGGGTGTGGTCTTGCTATCTTAGTGAGGGGTGGTGGTCTGGGAGTGGTCTTGTTATCTTAGTGAGGGGTGGTGGTCTGGGAGTGGTCTTGTCTTAGTGAGGGGTGGTGGTGGTCTGGGAGTGGTCTTGTCTTAGTGAGGGATGGTGGTCTGGGGGTGGCCTTGTTATGTAGTGAGGGACGGTCTTTTGTGTGTTGTCTTATGTATCTCCTTCTGGGAGATCATTTACGTATATCAGAAACAGCATAGGTCCAAGGACTGATCCCTGTTGGACTCCACTGGTGACTCCCCGCCACTCCGAGACCTCACCCCTCACAGTGACTCGCTGTGTCCTGTTGCTTAGGTAATCTCTTATCCAGTTGAGTACCTTTCCTTTCACTCCTGCCTGCATCTCCAGTTTGTACACTAGTCTCTTATGTGGTACTGTGTGAAAAGCTTTCTGGCAGTCCAGAAATATGCAGTCTGCCCAGCCCTCTCTTTCCCGAAACGCTTTGCGTAATAGTGGCTTTAGGCATTGTATGTACTAGCTCTATCTATAAAGCCAACAAACTTTGTAAAATCTCTTTATGTATGTACCTTACCTAAATAAAAATTATTATTATTATTATTATTATTATTATTATTTCTTGCCTGATTTTTGTTGTCTGGTCATAGAACTCAATTAATCCTGTTAGGCACGATTTGCCATCTCTGAACCCATGCTGATGTTGTGTTACAAAGTTCTTCTGCTCCAGATGTTCCACTAGCTTTTTTCGCACAATCTTTTCCATCATCTTGCATGGAATGCAAGTTAGAGACACTGGCCTGTAGTTCAGTGCCTCTTGCCTATCACCCTTCTTGTATATAGTGACTACATTGGCCGTCTTCCAAATTTTTGGCAGTTCATCTGTTACCAGCGATTTGTTGTACACCATGGAAAGTGATAGGCACAGAGATTCTGCTCCTTCCTTTAGAATCCATGGTGAGATTCCATCCGGGCCTATAGCCTTTGTCACGTCCAAATCTAGCAGATGCTTCCTCACCTCCCAACTGGTAATCACAAACTCCTCTAGTGGTGTCTGGCTTGATGTTCCCTCCCTATATCTGGGACTTCTCCTTGCTCTGAGGTGAAGACTTCCTGGAATTTTGTATTGAGTTCCTCGCACACTTCCTTGTCGTTTGTAGTGAATCTTTCAGCCCCTATCCTCAGTTTCATTACCTGTTCCTTCACTGTTGTTTTCCTCCTGATGTGGCTATGCAGCAGTTTGGGTTGAGTCTTTGTCTTTCTCGCTATGTCATTTTCATATTGCCTCTCTACCTCTCTTCTCACCCTGACGTATTCATTCCTGGAGCTCTGGTATCTTTCTCTGCTCTCTAGTGTTCTGTTGTTTATATAGTTTCTCCACTCCCTTTTACTTAGCTGCTTTGCTAGCTTGCAACTTTGATTAAACCATGGTTTTCTCATCTCCATTTCATTTTTTTCCTTTTGGACTTGGACGAACTTGACTGCTGCCTCCTTACACTTCTGTGTGATGTAGTCCATCATGTCTTGAACCTCCAGCAGTTTCGCTCTCCATGCTTCCTCACCTCCATGTGGTTCCCTGTTTCCCAGTCTATCCTTCCATAATTAAAGTCCCCCCATTATGAGAAGATGGGATCAATTTCTACAGGCAGCAGTGGCTGCTCTCTCCATGATAATGTTAACTGCCATGTTGTTTCTGTCATACTCTTGCCTGGGTCTTCTTTCATTTGGTGGCGGGTTATATATCACTGCTACTACTACTCTTGGTCCTCCCGTTGTCATGGTGCCTGTTATGAATCTCTGAACCCTGGCAGCCTTGATGTTGGTTGTGTTCCTGGCAGCCTTGATGTTGGTTGTGTTCCTGGCAGCCTTGATGTTGGTTGTGTTCCTGGCAGCCTTGATGTTGGTTGTGTCCCTGGCAGCCTTGATGTTGGTTGTGTCCCTGGCAGGCTTGATGTTGGTTGTGTCCCTGGCAGCCTTGATGTTGGTTGTGTCCCTGGCAGCCTTGATGTTGGTTGTGTCCCTGGCAGCCTTGACGTTGGTTGTGTCCCTGGCAGCCTTGACGTTGGTTGTGTCCCTGGCAGCCTTGATGTTGATTGTCCCTGGCAGCCTTGATGTTGGTTGTGTCCCTGGCAGCCTTGATGTTGGTTGTCCCTGGCAGCCTTGATATTGGTTGTGTCCCTGGCAGCCTTGATGTTGGTTGTGTCCCTGGCAGCCTTGACGTTGGTTGTGTCCCTGGCAGCCTTGATGTTGGTTGTCCCTGGCAGCCTTGATGTTGGTTGTGTCCCTGGCAGCCTTGATGTTGGTTGTGTCCCTGGCAGCCTTGATGTTGGTTGTGTCCCTGGCAGCCTTGATGTTGGTTGTCCCTGGCAGCCTTGATGTTGGTTGTGTCCCTGGCAGCCTTGATGTTGGTTGTGTCCCTGGCAGCCTTGATGTTGGTTGTGTCCCTGGCAGCCTTGATGTTGGTTGTGTCCCTGGCAGCCTTGATGTTGGTTGTGTCCCTGGCAGCCTT